GATATAAATGTATAATTTAACCAGAAATACTCAATGGTGGTTACACATAATTTTAATGTTACTTTACGGGGAGGGGGTACAAAATCTGACATCATATATAAGAGGGGTTTTGCCAAAAACTGATAGAATTCGATAAAGAGAGGAGAGGGTTTAAAAATTGAGAAAAATCACAGACATTAATTATGGACAGCCCCTTTTACTAAGTTGGAAAGTTTTTCAATTTTCCTTGAACGTTCTATAGATACCAAGAGCTACGCTTAACTCGGACATTCCCTAAGTCGTACTATTTATCTATTCCCATTAAGAGTCCAACTTAACGGGATTTTACTGTATGTATGTTTATATATATATGTTTATATATATATATATATATATATATATATATATATATATATATATATATATATATATATATATATATATATATATATATATATATCATATATATATATATATATATATATATATATATATATATATATATATATATATATATATATATATATATATATATATATATATATATATATATATATATATATATATATACATATGTATATATATATATATATATATATATATATATATATATATATATATATATATATATATATATATATATATATATATATATAGATAGATATTAGATATATTTGTATAAACACTTGAATAAACATTTTTTTATAATTTTATTATTTATTATTTAAACTGTTAACAGTTAATATCTTAACATAAAATCGTTTGCGTCTTTTTCGTAACTGCACATTCCGGAATGCTCCTTCCGTAAGAAACTATTTCGTAAGTATTTTTACGAAATGATTTGTTTCTCATGTTTCCTTTTGCAATGCTTTATTACGAAATTGTATTTATTTATATTTTCGTATAGTACGTTACGGAATATGCATTTTCGCAGGTGCAACTTCCGCAATAACAATTCTATTACGGTAGATAAAGATGCAAAATTTTCGCAAGTTTTGTTTTTCGGCGAGCAACCCTAGTCTACAACACTTAATTTCAGCAAAATTCAATTAAAAAGTCATGTCATAGAAGACAGAAAAATATCAATATCTGTTTTCAATAACTTGGCTTTCATAGCAAATCTGAGAGGTGCAAATATTTAGCTTGGTTTAAGTACTACATAATAAATACATCGTTGTACAGTCATTTTGATGGTCGTAAACTTATTTAGAACACTCATTTTTATATATTCTTAGACTGTTTACCGTTTGAGTTCTGTCCCAATCCAACCTAGTGAGTTCAAAAAGAAAGGTCCGCGTTGGAAACACGAGGGGGTTAAAAGGATCATTTTTGAATTAACATTTTTGAAAGAAACAGGAAAGAAAGAGAAAGATGAAAAAATATTCTGTTGAACAATACTGTTGTTTTATTTATAAATTATTCTCCTATATTTAAACATATAAAAGATGTAGAAAATGCTTTCTCTTTTATATTGACATCTAAAAGAGGTTTTTTTCTCGGCATCAGAAAGAGCTTTTTGTCATACTTTGTATGATAAGCTATTATCATTTTCATTTGATAAAAACAACTTTTCATATAAGAAAAGTAGGAATACTATAGTGTATAGGATACTATAGTATGCTAATAAGTATGACAAAAAAGTCGTTCCGACCCCGAGCAAAAAAACTTTTTTAGAAGTGCATAATTGATAAACAAAGACGTCTTAATTACGCATTTTTTATGTCTTTTCATGACAAGATAAAGATAAAAAAGACGCCATTTCGATGTCGAAAAAATGATGTCTTTTAGATTTGCATACTTGACTAAAAAAGGCGTCTTAAAGACGCATTTTTTGTCTTTACATGACAAGATTAAGATAAAAAAAGATGTCTTTTCGATGTTAAAAAATATGTCTTTTAGATTTGCATAATCGATTAAAAAAAGTCGTTTTAAAGACTTCGTAAATAAGACTTTTAAAGACGTCTTTTCGACGTCTTTTTTCCCACTGTGTAGTCGGGTCATTTTAGTTAACTAAAAAGTTAGTCAACTAATTTTAGTTAACTAAAAAGTTAGTCAACTAATTTTAGTTAACTAAAAAGTTAGTCAACTAATTTTAGTTAACTAAAAAGTTAGTCGACTAGTTTTAGTTAACTACAATATTAGTCTACTAATTTTAGTTAGACTAAAAATTTAGTTAAGTATTTTTAGTTACACTAACACTAACCTTAACTCCCACCCCTACTAACTAACAGTCTAACTTCTAGAAGATTGTCTATGTTTACTTCTATATGTCTGAAGATATTTCACTATTAAATTTGAAGTTTAATTTATTCGAGTTTTTATCAAGTCTTCGACCTTGCGTTTCAAGATGGCTTTCAAAATGCTTATGTAGCAAAATTAGTTCTGTCAGTTTTCGAACAGGTGGAGTCATTTCCTATTCACCATTCACCTTTAATCGATTAAACGCGCTTCTAACAGGCGCTTTCATTATTGCAAACATTGCATCAATGTCTGCTTTACGAATTGATGGATGCCCACATTAACAACTTTTTGATATCTTGGATTTAAATTAAGTCCATTATTCACAGACAAACAGTTGGCATAAATTAGTGTCAAGATGCTCCTATCTAGACGTTATCAGGCAATGCAACGCGGTATTTAACGTACATTAAAAGCGGAGCTTGCTTTTTAGGTGATTTTATCACTTAACAAGCTTGTTATGGTTTTACCTTTCAATAATAAAATTCGTTTTGGCAGGAGCAGAGTATAAACAACACTTCTTCTTATTTGAAAGTCTTTAACCTTTAATTGCTCTGTTAATTCATCGAGATATCACAACAATAAATATCACTTTGTCTTTTGTTATTAGCAGCAGACCCATTCAATGCAATATCAATTTATATCTGTTTTTAAAAGTAGTGACAAATCTTCTTCAATTACTGGTCGACCAGTTTTCTGTTGGAACTAAAATTTACAATATTTTCAACACAAGTTTGACCTAAAGCTTTTTTTTTTTTTTCGGTATATCTTCTGCTTTTCTCGTTCATATTTCTTTCTTTTCAGTTTCTAGTTCAATAACTTTAAATTTATTTTTTTTTAGTTCCTTTTCCTAACATGAGCTTAAATCTCCACTTTCTTTTCGTTTAAACAATCATATTAAATTGCTATTGAAGATGCTTATTTGACTCTGTTGAAGATGCTTATTTGACTCTGTTGAAGATGCTTATTTGACTCTGTTGAAGATGATTTGACTCTGTTGAAGATGATTTGACACTTTTATAAGTTTTTTTTTTTGTTTAAACAGCAGACCAACCAACAACAACTTTGAAATAATCATAGTGTTACTAGTAAATATTTCGTATGTGCTTATTTAGGTAATACTATGATTATCATAGTGGTCAACAATATTAACCATTCTTAAAACCAAGTGACAACTGTTTTCTGTTAAACTTTATTATTGTTGTTAAAGTAGAAAGATACAAATTTACTTAACATATCATAACATAACAAATTAATTGATAAACGATTGAAACTTTCAATTTAAAAGTGAAGTAAAGTAACTTCAGTTTCAGCTATTTTTATAAAATGTCTTTGATCAGTTTTAAATTGTACTTTAGAAATATTAAGGGAGCTGCATTAGCTGGCAGGAGTGAATTAAGATGATCAATGAGGACCTCCACAGAAACACTGAACAAACATTCTGATGGTACACTTGTCAGTGGGGCACCCATATAAAGGCGAGCTACTGTCGCCAGAGCTGGCAATTGTAGCATATTGTCATTCTACCACTGTAGTGGATCAGGGTGTTCATTTATTTCTGGTTCTGCCAGATACTGGTTTAGCTGAGTATGAAAGCGTGTCGGTAATTGTAATTCATGTGCTGTGCCACCAGCGGACATTATCAGAGTACATTTTCAGAGTAATGATGATGATGTAGAAGAATTACCCAGTCGGGCTTGTTTTGCTGGAATTCTTTCAATTTTGTCATTCTGCTGCTCAGCATGCTCTGATTGACTTCTATGTTGCATCAATACCCTCTGCACTGTAACTTTATTGAATGTATATTTAACCACATTTAGGCTCATCCTCAGGCTCTATCGTGTGTTTTCACCTGAGAATATTGTGTGTCTTCCCTTCGAAATTTTTTGTTGAGTTGTTGTTTAAAATTAGGCTTTATGCCGAATTTGTGAAAATGGCCGGTACAGATATATATATATATATATATATATATATATATATATATATATATATATATATATATATATATATATATATATATATATATATATAACTATTCCATTCCATAGAGAAGCACCGCAGTATGATAATAAAAGATTTGTTAATTAATCCAACGTAATCACTTAATAATAAATTGCTACACCAGCTGTAATAACTGTGCGATTATTAAACTTAAGTTTAAATGATTAGTTATTGTAAAAAAACAACTTGTCCAACTATTATTATTTTACAGAAACTATTTCTCTAAATATTTTTATATTTCTATTTCTATAAATATTTAAGATTCTGTTAAAAAAAAAAGATGAGAAAGAATTAAAAATAGAAAATAATTACAACGAAGGGTGTTTTTTAACAGTATAAAACTCTCAAAGAATTAAACATTTTTAATACCCGAAACAATTTTTTATTATGTAACATTTTCATTTAATAGAGTTTTTTTTTTACATATTGAAGTATAAAACATTAATATTAAACAAGTTATTATCAAATAGTAATTATATATAAAAAATTATTTTTAAAATCAAAAAACAAGTAATTTTTTTCTTCAATATTTAAAAATTGTTACAGTTAACTTATTATAAGATTTTATTTAATCATTTCATAACAATGCGTTAATGTTTAATTGTTTCCTTGTTTTTGGTAATAAACTAATTATTGTTGACTATGTTATTTTGAGAAACCTAACGCCTTAACAAAAGAAAATAATGTGCTGATTGGTCAAAAACTAATAAAAACGTCAGATTGACGCAATAAAAATGCTGAATCCTTAAAGTTTGAACAGCAAATAATTGTTAACACTTTATATTAAAATGATGGAAGCAACAACATATACTGAAAAAATGGAAAACTTGGTTGATAAAGAAAAGTCTAAAACACTTGTTCTTGCTGAAAAAGAACCGGAAAACGAAGTAAGTAAAGGGTCTGAAACTAACGATGATACTATAATCGTCAACACAGACGTTACTAAACAAGATAGTAAAGAAGAAAAACCGCCCAAAGTCTTCTTACACCAGTATCCTCGTTTAAAATGTATGCCAACTTTATCACCATTTTGTTTGAAGCTTGAAACGTTTCTTCGTATGTACAAAGTTCCCTACGAAAACCACTTCAGCTACAAAGTTGGAAAAAAAGGCAAAGTTCCGTGGATTGAATACGGTGATGAAAAGAAAGCGGATTCAAATTTCATTATTGAATTTCTTAACCAAACTCTTGAGTTAAAAGTTGACGCAAATTTATCGGATTTTCAAAAGGCATTAGGAAGAACAGTGAAAGTAACTCTCGAAGAAAACTTCTATTGGACGGTAATATACGATCATTATGTTGCAAATTTTGCCGAGTTTCGTAATCTATGTGCCCCTTCTGGTTTAGTTTATTCAATTACAATGAAAATGAATCAACATAAAAGAGAAAACTCCCTCGATATTCAAGGAATGGGCAGGCATTCAAAAGAAGAAATTTACAGTATTGGTCAGGAAGATATAAAAGCGGTATCTGTTTTGTTAGGAGAGAAACCTTTTCTTCTAGGTGAAACTCCGTCTTCATACGACTGTACAGTTTTTGGATTTATTGGAATTGTTTTGCTCTCTGGTTTAGATTCTCCGTTTGTTAAATATATTCATGAAAATGCAACCAATTTGATTAAGTATTGCGAGAAAATGAAAACTAGTTATTGGCCTGATTGGAACGAAAACTGTTTGGTAGACAAGCCTGATACTAAGAAAACTTTTAGTATTCGGAAAAAGAACGGTAAATCTAAAGATGAAGAGCTTGAAGAAGGTAACGAAACAACTCAGATGTCAAAAAGTGATAACGAAAATTCTCAAGTGCCAGTATCCGTTTTAAAAGAAAGCAATAACGCTGAAAATAATCCAATGAAAGCTTAGTAGCTATTCATTAAAATTTCGATGAATTTTTAAAAGTTTAATTTTTTCCCCCAGATTCTTATTTTTTGGAGAATTTCTTTTATAAATAATTAAATAATATTCTACTTTTGTTAATATGTTCTTTAGATCAAATTAGTATTTTAAATAAATTTTGAAAACTTTAACATATGTTTTAGGTTCAATAATCGCGAACTGACCACAGGGATTAGAAATAACTTTACATATACCAAATTAAACTTTTAATTATAACAAACCGCAAAAGTTAACTTACCGTCAATAAAAATAGTTTGGTTTTTTTGAGGTGTGTTTAAAAAAAAAAAAATTATGGAAAGATGAAGACGTGCGTCATAAAAAAAAATAAAGCATTATTCTTTTACCACTGAGGTAGAATGAATTTGTCACGGCTTAAAAAATATTTTTCGACCTAAATTAAATTCAATCGATGAATTTATTCTAATTTAAAAAAGCGAAAAAGGTTTTTAATAAGCGAAAAATATATAATAAAAAAGCGAAAAATATAAAAATAATAATAAAAAAAACAATTCTAGAGCACTTATTTTCATGAATTCATGTTCAGAACTATATGTTTACAGCCTTGGTTGCGCACATTTTTGACACTCAAAATAACAGATGCCATATTAATTTCTTTATTAAAATAACTTTTTTCAAACTACTAAAATGTGTGAATTGTGATTTGATATAAAAACTATATAAATAAAATATCAATATTTAAAAAATTTTTAAACAAAAATTTACAATTATGCATGATTTCTTTGTGAAAAAATAATTTTAAAACAGCTCACTAATAGCTTCGCTTTTTTCCTGTAAAGAAGCTCGTCAAAATATTTTTAAAATATAAGAAAAAAAATTTAATAATCTATAAAAATATAAATTTTTTTAGATTATTAAACATACGAGAAGTTGAATCATTTACGTGTTTTGACCATTTGACAATCATTACATATAAGTTCAACAAAATTGCAAAAACCTGTGTCCTCGTTAATAAAATCTCTATGAATAAAGAAAATAGTTATATGAAACAACTTTTACAAAACTACGACTCAAGTTTTATTGTTGTTTTTGCTTTATTTCTTTGACATTTGAAACTTGAGTATAAATAATAAATTTAAAAATTAAACTTGTTACTTGTGCAATATATTTCCTTATATTAAACTTTTGCGGGCAATTCTAGTCAAAAAGAAAAATAGGATCCTTTAAGAATTGAGAATAAAAAAAATTTCGGATTTGAACCTCATTCAATTAAATCACAAAAGTTAAAAAGTGTTTATAATTATCAAAGTTTGTCTTTTTTGTTTTTGGTGTCAAAATCCTATAGGTCCTATAGGACTTTTTGGGTAGGGTGTATCGTACAAACATGAAACGTTGCAATATTTATATAATATCGGTAAGATCGATACGACCACCTACAAAAATACAATAACTATTGTATTTTGTAGCTAATCACTGATCTAAAAATATAATACTTTATAATAAAATAGTTATTTTTTAATATAAGAGATTTTAATAATGAAATAGTTGTATTTTGAAATCAGTGCAAACAATATTATTACGTCAATCAGGAGCAATTTTAAGGAGTGTGCGAGGGGGTGTGACAACCCCTCAAAGAAGCCTATTTTTAACTTATAATTGGTTTTTGTAAAGAATATAGTTAGTTTATTAGGATTTAACACATTTTAATCCTCAGTTTTTTTGGTTGATAAAATTTTTGTTTTATTTTAGAAAGTCAGTCGGCAGTTTGTGAGTATTCGCCCCACCCCTTTTTTTTCTTTCTTAAATCACCCCCTGATGTCAATAACTACATATTACAACTTTAGAGCAATATCATAACTATAATTATATATTTTCAACAAACTTTAAATAAGTTTACAAATATTTAAATAAATTTACAACAAAGTAAATTAATTAAGTAAACAAATTTATAAAGAAAATATAATTAAGTAAATAAACTTATAAACACTTAAATAAATTTGCAACAAAGCGGCCGTGGCGCAGTTTAATGTGTCTAGAACGCTTATTTTTTTAGAAGCAAGAGACCCGGAGTTTAAAACAAGCTCGGGCATATATTACGTCATCTGTAAGGATAGAGGCAAGTTTAATGCTCTTCCGCGGTGTCATGTGAGAAAATCGTTAGGTCTTCTTAGAGCACCTAAAACAAAAATTAAAAAAAAAGCACTTTAATATTATGTATTGTCGCTAACTAATGTTGCCTGCCAACTTCCCAACAGGATTCGATTATCAAAAACATAAACATTAGGAAAACTACAAATCAAAATCAATTAAATCTTTTTTTTTTTATAGATTATGTTTATAAATATATTTATAGACTTAAAAAAAAGTAAAAATGTATTATATATTATAAATATATTTATACACTCTTAAAAAAACATTATTTATAATGTTGTTCTGTTATTATTTGTTTCAGTGTCACTGTTATTATTTGTTTTGGTGTCACTCCTTTGATCAGTTGGTGTCACTCCTTTGATCAATTGGTGTTACTCCTTTGATCAGATTTCTGTATAAGTGACACCATCCTTTGATCAGATTTCTGTATAAGTGACACCATCCTTTGATCAGATTTCTGTATAAGTGACACCATCCTTTGATCAGATTTCTGTATAAGTGACACCATCCTTTGATCAGATTTCTGTATAAGTGACACCATCCTTTGATCAGATTTCTGTATAAGTGACACCATCCTTTGATCAGATTTCTGTATAAGTGACACCATCCTTTGATCAGATTTCTGTATAAGTGACACCATCCTTTGATCAGATTTCTGTATAAGTGACACCATCCTTTGATCAGATTTCTGTATAAGTGACACCATCCTAATAAATAATTAACTTATTACTATATTACTATTAGTTATTATTATTATTTTTTCATTGTAATTATTGTAGACATACTTATTATTACTATTACTATAATTTGTATAATTATTTTATTTATCTTATATTATCATTATATATTTTTGCTATTATTACTATTATTATTATTATCATTATTATCAAAACTATTGTAAAATGATTTACGGAAAATAAACAGCTTCTTGTTGTTATTGTTGTTGTTGTTGTTGTGTAAAAAACCGTTAAAAATTACGTAACTATGCGAGGTACGATGATACCTATTATTAAGCCATTTTTTATCTTTTTCTGCAACCCTCATGACGTAAGAAACAACAATTTCTAAAATGACGTTTTTTTTTATTAAAATATCTTGAAAATATTAAAACATAATTTAACTGCATTCCTTCCATGTTTGTCTAGTTTTTTTCTTAAATTTTCATAAAGTGTGTGAGTTGGTAAAATAAACAAGGCAATAAACTTAGTTTTAAGAGTAAAGTTTTATTAATTTTAACTACTTTTTTAACTATAAAATTAATTGAAAGGTTCTAACAGTGGCATAGATCTAGTAAAAAGGAATGTGTGAAATGGTGTTTGTATGTATTTGGAGGTAGGGAGTGGCAGGGTTTGATTGCAAAGTTAAAAATACTTTTTTTTCAAAAAGTGAATAAGGTATATTAAACATCAATAGAAGTTTTTAAAATACAGGTTATCTAGCTAATGGTAACATGTCACCCAGTGCAACCTGTTTCATGTCCTGCTGCCTTGTAGGATACGCTTTTTTTTGTCAAAGGCTAAAAAGTGTCAAATCTAACTTAAACCCCTACTTTGGGCTCTTGATTGAGAAAAGCTGTATAAATAAAAATACTCATCTTGGGCAGACGTTAAATGCATCCAGCTAGTGAAAAGACCCCCTATACAAACACCTTAGGGGTAAACAAATTTTATCTGTTGACCATCTTTGCCCCTTTTCTTTATTTATTAGAATGGCGCAGATGTATTTATAACACATTGTTTGCAGTTTAGAATGTTAAATGTTTGCCTCTGTTTATATGACTAAATAACCCATTCTATTATCTTCTAATGAGGATACAGCTCTAAAACTCAGTTTAAGGTTCTGAGGTCGGCTGGTATTCAAGTTTCCCGATCTCTGATACAGCTCTCAGAGAGGCTAATTCCATCAACAGCTGTAAAATATCAGATTACTTACAGTACCATGTTGCGCATGGATGGTGTTCTTGTTTGTACTTTTGGTGTGCTTTGTCGAGGCAACATTTGGTGCCCTTTGTTACGGCTTAGTGTTTATTAATAGTAATGAGGCAATGGCTTGGAATATTAAATAGTTTACTGAGTACTATCTATGCTTCAAGTCAAGTTCTTTAAAAAAATTTAAAAAGGACTAAAGTATCAAAAACTATAAAACACAAAAAACCATCGTCATCACCAAATTCTCTAAATCTATGTATTCACTAAAATTTTTGATCTTCGAAGTAACTTTTCTTCTGTTGAGTTGAGTATAATTTGTTGAGTTGAGTATAATTTGAGTATAATCTGTTGAGTTGAGTATAATATAAAGTTGAGTTGAGTTGAGTATAATCTCTTGCAAAGTTCACCAGACTTACTTGCTCTTTGTGAAATTAATTAAAATTCAGCTGTCCCATTTTGTGATATTAGTGTTGATTGTTATCTTTACTCAATTTGTAAAGATTACAATAGTCCCATGCTTAGCCTGGGCATTTACATTTGTAAAAATTTACCCATTTTTTAAGAAACTAGGTTTAAATACATAGCTATTCTACATAAAATAGCCATAGGCTATTCTATATAAACATTCTCTTTGTTTTATATTGCTCTCCTTTATCTCAAAAATGCATTCTTTTGATGTTTTCCCTGATGAAATTGACCAAGTCTTCTCTCTTTACCTTTCAACCAATTTCTTTGTTGTTAGTGACTTTAATAGTCATCACACAAAATAGTTTGCTTCTAGCATCATTGACTCTGCAGGTGTTAAACCCTTCAACTTTTGTCTTTCTAACACAAACAGTCAATTTTCCAACTTGCTTTTTAGACAATCCAAATCATTTCCCTTCTCTACTAAACTTATATCTTGTTTCTGATCCTAGTCAGTGCTCCGTTTTTCCACATTCATTGTTAAATGCTTCTGATTACGGTTTGATCTTTCTAAAACTTTTATCTCATTTTCCTTCATCATTAGAATCCTCCTATCATTTTACCTCTTACAACTAATTTAAAGCTGATCTGGACGTTTTTTGTTATTTTTTTTTATGATGGGTCTTGGG